GATGTGGATTGGAACAGAATGACTATCTATACACACAAAAGAAAAAGTAAAAATCACCATCTAGAAGCGGTATCGCGCCCCATGTGGGTGAAAAACAACAAAGGAAACCAGGTAGTATGACAAAGACAGACGCGGCTGGTTCAGAGCCAGTGCCCACAAATAGTTCAACAGAAAGACAGAACCAACGACTGCCGGATATCGCGACGAGAAAGACGTTACTGGGAAAATGAGCGAGTGACATTCATGTACGTAGGTATGTATGCGACTTGTAGCGCGGAATGAATTTCTAAGGAAAAGGTGCGCGCAACCTTTGCAATAGCGATGTCGAATGCGGGCGGCGGGAGACAGAGACATGAAATAAATGTGAAACGAAAAGTGACTATTCGGCATCCATATCCTCATCAAGATCAATAGCGTCTGGATTGACAGGCGCAGAGGGCTGCGGCTGCTGCTGACCCGGCGGAGGGGGACGGTTGCCGCCCTCGGGTCCGGTGCTGGCGGCGACAAAGCCCACGGGGGCGCGGGCTTGCCGTTCCAGAGCTGCCATGGCGTCCGCGCGCTCCTTGGAGCCATCCATGTCTGCTTCCTCGCCTTCCCTCTCCTTGCCGCCTTCCTGGGCGCGTTGCTGGCTGCGGGCGATTGCTTGGGAAGCAATGAAGTTGACATCGGTGCTGTTCCAATAAATATTAGCACGGTTCCAAATTTCATGAGTTGGCCAGGGTCCACATACTTGTACTGCGCCTGAACACTTCTCTTGATACGAAGCATCTCCTTGAAGGTATCTTCATTTCCGTGTTGGACCTCGAACGCCTCCCATTTTTGCCAGAAGACGGCGTTGGTACGGGGGTCGCAGAACTGAGAAGCATGGCCGTAGATCGCACGTGCACGATCGATCTCGCCAAGTCTCCTTTCCATCTCTGCGAACTTGAGGCACATCTCTTTGGCTTCCTGGTCTGGTAAGGCCGCAATGGCGCGTTCATAGATAGGCCTCGTGGATGTTAAACCAAAGTTGGAGGCAGACTTGGTGATGTAGAACTCGAACATTTCAAATCTGTCCTCGTCGGAAACTGCCCGAGTCGCACGCTCATAGATTCTCATGGCGTGTCGGGCCAGACCGCGTTCTTCTTCAAGGTTGCCGTACATCAGATACAACGGCTTTGCGAATTTCGGCGGACATCCGTCGAGAGCCTGTTCGAAGAGGTCCCTCAATCTTTCAATGCCAATCTTCCGATCCACCGCCTTGGTGAGATAAAGATTCCAGAGCTCGAAAGCGACTGGATAGCTGAAGAGATCCAGGCCTCTTTCGTAGACTTTGAAGGAATCCTCAAAGTATTTATGCTCTTCCAACAGGTTGGCAAAGTTGACTACAGTCTGCGGTGTTGCAATGCGCAGTTCAAAAATCCTCTCATATACCTTCCTCGTCTCTTCCAAGGTTGCAACACTCTCGACCAGATCCACATAGAAACTCCAAAGCTTCCAACTCTTATGAACACGCTGCTGAGGCGAGAGGGTCTCGTCGAAATAGTCCACTGTAGACTTCTTCGGTGCCTGCGTAGCCTTGGCCATGATGTCGACGGCCTTATCGAAATTCTCACTTCGGAGTTCCATCTCAGCCCATTCGCACCATGTCTCTGCTAATTCGGCGACAGATTTGAATGGAACCTTGACAGCCTTGTCGAAAATGACTCGAGCAGTGTCCAAATCCCCACCACTCTCGTAGAACTTGGCATAGTTGACCCAGAGTTCAGAAAACTTTCCATGAGCTTTCTTCGGATTGATTGCAGCGATGGCGGCAGTGTAGGTGTTGACGATTTCTTCTTTGTTGTCACCCCACAGAGCCACCCTCTTCTCCCATTCAATGACATTGTTGGGATTTTGCCTTAGCAAGACGTCGTTGACAAGGAACGGCCGGCGATCCATAAGTTGTTCAAATCTCAGCATTCGTAGATCGAGGTCAAAATCAGCCTCTTCGTCAACATCTCCTTTATCAGCCCGGGCCGCTGCGGCCTCCATCAAGCTTCCGATGATCGATTCTTCAAATTCAACATAGGAGTCGAATATCAGGGTGAAGTCGCGGACGGTCATGACGGTGGTAATGCCTTCTTCGAACACATCCCGTGCTTTCTCGAAATTACCCTTCGTGATCCAATAAGTCGCCAACCCAGCCCAGAGCTTCCCTCTCTGGTCGGCAAACCGATCAATTCCACTCCGAAGGATGGCGTCAACGTCGATGCCGACTTGCGGGCCGGTCTGAATCTGCTTCGCCTTAGAGACGAGCAGGTCTACCATCTCAGTCCAAAGCTGAAAGTTGCTCTTTCCTCTCTTCGACTGAAATCTCGGGTTGTCGAGGATTTCCATGTAGCGCTTGACAGCTTCGGTATATTGACCCAGTTCAACGAGCAACTCGATATATTCTTCAGCATTTTCCGGATGAATTTGCATATAACGAGCCCATATCTTCACAGCCGTTTGTCCAGATGCTGATCGCGCAAAGGCTTTATATAATTTCCAGATCCGGTTGTGCTGGGTGATCGGTAGAGCGCGAAGCGCGCGGTCGAATGTCCTCCGAGTCTGTGTTACCAATGGTTGTTGTAGCAAGAAAGAGAGATACATCTCCCAAATTTTTGGCATTTTATTCAGCAGTATGAGGGCTCGTTCGAAGAGCGTGTTCACCTTCTGATATTCACCACGGTATTTTGTCGCATTACGACCCCGAAGGTGGTTCATTCGAAACTCGAGATACTTTAAACAGTCAGCAAAAATCATTCACAGCTACTTTTCAGAATTCATGTGAAGAAAGCGACCAGAAAAAAAAGACGGGTTTCACATACCATTTTCCAAAGTTTGTATGATCTGGGAAGCTGTTTACAGGCACGCTCCATAACCTAAAACAATCTATTAGCATGTAATCGCGGAGTAAATGGGAGAGAAATCGTACAAAGGCCTGCTCGTAGAGCGTCCCATTCTGCTGTTTGTACTCAATGTAGGCAAGCCATGGTTTGATGCTGCCAGGTGCCCGAAGAAGATCCTGTTCATAGACAGTGTCCTGATCGGCCTATGCGCAAGTACAGTGTCAGCATCCACGATTGCAATGCTCAATTCAAAGCTTAGCGCTTACAATCAGGTAAAGGTCTGGCCCTGAGGCAGACGTTCGGTCCATCTGTGCGTGTTGCCGGTGAGATCTCGGGGGCAGGAGTGTCCCTGGCATTTCGCCACTCGTTCGAGCGGGACCAGCTCGCACGGTCAACACAGGGTCAGGAAAAGGGAGAGTCGCATGAACTGGAGAGCTTCTTGTGTTCCTTGTCGCGTTGACCAGCAAAGATCAAGCGCCGCAGAACGTGAAGTTGGACGGGAGCACGTGATCTTCTGTCATGCCGCAGCCAGGCGGGCAGAGGTGGCCCAAGCTTCTTCCTCTATCGCGCTGCGTATCATCGTGCCAATGAGAGGCCCAAGCAATGCGCCCTGCTCTTCCGTGGTGGTAACATCGTGTTTGAACGTCATTACTTCTATTTAATCATTTCCCAGCCATGTCGGGTGCAGTGGTATGTGTCTTCTCTTTGTCTGACCCGCTTTACGGTTTCGCTGATTGATATGGGTGTCCTTATCAGGGCCGCGAGGCAGTCTTCCCGACCCGCCAGTCGCTGGGGTTGATGAAGAGTAAGCTGAAGGGTGCGGAGACTGGTCACAGCTTATTGAAACGCAAAAGTGAAGCTCTCACGAAGTAAGTTTGCTATTCCTGTCTTGAAGCCTATCTCACTTGCTGATATGTCCTTCCAACTGCAGGCGTTTCCGGGGTAAGACCGCTTCCCCGACAGGATAGCACACCCCGCCGCCAATTCTCGAAGCTGATGCTGTATACTAGAGATCACCCGACGCATTGATGAAGCGAAACAGAAGATGGGACGGGTTATGCAAATCGCTGCATTCTCCCTGGCCGAAGTGAGCTACGCTGTTGGTGGAGATATCGGCTACCAAGTTCAAGAATCAGCCAAGCAAGCACGGTTCCGAGTACGGGCTAAACAAGAGAATGTCTCCGGTGTCTTCCTACCGCAATTTGAGAGCTATACAGAGGAGGGGATCAATGACTTMGGTTTGACCGGTCTCGGAAAGGGAGGTCAACAGGTGCAGCGGTGTCGGGAGACATATGCTCGAGCAGTGGAGACATTAGTGGAACTTGCGAGTCTACAGGTACTGGATCCTTGCATGTGCCGGAGCTCGTTCGTCTTCTAACATGCGGTAATTAGACTGCGTTTGTGATCTTAGACGAGGTCATCAAAGTTGTCAATCGACGAGGTGAGTCCAATCTGCTTCCGCCCATGACGGCATTGAAACGCTGACCAAGGCCATAGTGAATGCGATGTACGATTTGCACTTGAATGTAGACCCGAATTTACACACTAACCTTCTTTATTAGTGAGCACGTCATTATTCCTCGAACCGAGAACACTATAAAATGTAAGTAACCCCTACAAGCTCTTTATCTCTCCGATATCTGACCAGGCCCAAGATATCAATTCGGAACTCGATGAATTGGACAGAGAGGAGTTCTACCGATTGAAGAAGGTTTCAAACAAGAAGCAGCGGGATAGCGCCGCCGCTGATGCCGAGATTGTAGCTGCTAGGGAAAGGGAGGCTGCGGACAAGCGGGCCGCTGAAGTCGAAGCAGCGCCTGAAGCCCCAGCGCCTGAAGTCCCAGACGTTCTGGGGGAGAATGAAGACGCTGATGTCATTTTCTAGAGTGTCTGCGTTGTTTCTTTGGGCAATGTATATTCCTTCAAGCATGTTTTTATTCGTCGCTTTACATTCAGTTTTCATCTATCTCATATTATGAGGGTATCACTCAGACACAGGAGGCCAGAGTGAAGTGCGGCTCTGCGGATGAATACACATCATTTTCTCCATGACCAAGACAAAAGAATTACAAAATAGAAATGGAAACAGCCTTCCTAACGCCAGAACAAGTTGTACCCGATGCCCAAGGCCGCTCGAAAATGAGTAGTTCACTGTCTTTGGTAGGTGACGCGGATAGGCTTGCCGTTGTCCCCCATAGGCATGTTGGCCGTAGCCTCCTTCGCACTGATGGCACCAGACTCGTTCTCGTACTCGACGAAGGCGATTCCTTTTCGGCCAGGAACCAATCTGACTTCCTGGAATCCTTCGAACCGACCAAATATAGCGGTAAGGCTCTCTTGGTCGGCGGTATCGGGCAAGTCCCGCACGAAAAGGATCTTGTTGGGAGGAAGGTACTCGTCGGGGATAACTGCCGCCGCTGCACCGGTGGTCGGTTTGAGGCCGGCGCCCTTGACTGCCTTGGCTGGACGCGCTGTGTCGGCAGGGCCGGGGGGACGCTTGAGCTTCTTCTGAGCTTCCAGAGCTTCGTGGGCTTGTTTGCGCTCTACCGTGAATAAATGCAATTAGCGGACGCACATGCCTCAATACAAAACGAAATAGGCAAAACTTGAAAGGGAAAAAAAAGAGGCCAAAAAGGACGCACCCTTCTCTGCTAACCGCCTCCGCTTATGGACCTCAAGCTCTTCTGTGCCGCCCTCTCGCAGAACGGTTGCATCGCTCTTGGTTTTCGCATAGTCGAGGACCATCGGCTTGTCGAAAAGTTCAAACCCGTTCACCTCCTCGATTGCGCGGGTCGCGGATTCAACGTCGTCAAAGACAATGAACGCCTGGCCTTTGGCCTTCAGGTTGGTCTTCGCAACGATCTCCACGACGTTGCCATACTCGGAGAAGATCTCTTCCAAGGCCACTTTGAGTTGGTCGATCTTGATGCGTTCCTCTAGGTTGCGGACCTGGTTTTGTCAGGGATGTTAGATGCGCCATTCACTTGTTGTAGCATGCAGACGAGGGGACACACATAGACACTGCGGAGCATGGCTTGGGTTAGCACAATGTAGCTTCCAAAGATTGGATAAGTCAATGGCAACTCACGTAGAATTAGGGGGAAGAGAGGGAGTAGACGTTGGTAATGAGGCCATGGTTGCGACCGCTGAGCCCTTGTCGTGAGCTTGGATGTTTCAAACTACTGACTTTCTGTTATCGACCTTCGGAACTTCCATTTGATCTGGAGATAGCCTACTCCATCTCTGGGAGATGTTATGTATAATCTTATCATCATCTGCTATACCATGAAAGGTATATAGTAGCATCATTGGTCTAGTGGTAGAATTCGTCGTTGCCATCGACGAGGCCCGTGTTCGATTCACGGATGATGCACTTGATCCTTTTCCCTTTTTTTTCTCGGCGCTGATTTCACTTTTCGCTCGTTTTCAGCCGTCCAGGACTCTCGATTCATTCATTAATTTGCTTTGAGCCCTCAGAGTAACTAACTATCATCATATGAAGGTATATTTACAGTTCCGGTTATTATTTATAGTCGCAACATTGCCCGTAAAGTCTCAGCTTGACCCTTGAGTTGCTTTGGGGCTTTGGTCCAATCCTCGTCTTTCACAAGGTCTGACCCAGTCTCCATGAATAAGTAGTCTGCTACGCTTGAGCGGATCTATAGTCTGTCAGTATAAACGGCGGTGTTGAAAAGAGTTACACTACATACCCTAGGAAATGGATGCAGAAGCATTCCGACCATCTTCTTCAGGACGTCTACCCTTAGATGCTCCAACCGACACAGAGACGCGTAGACTTTGATTGAAGCTTCGAGCCTTGCCATATTCGTGGTCTTAAAGTGTGCCTTTTGCACAAGCACGAAGAGCTTTCTGAAACTATATCAAAGTCAGCCGATTTCAGCCAAGCTCTTCCTGCCAATAACGCACCTTGGTTCAGACTCTTCAGACACTGAGGAGACATAGCCGTCCAAAAGAAACGCTGCAAATTCCATTGACGGTATGGCATAGCGATCATCGTGCAGATTATCGCTCAATATGACTCCAAGGTCCTTCAAAATAGCGCGCGCTTTGATCTGCTGCTCCGTTCCACTGTAGCGGCTGAGGCTCTGCACCAGTGCTAGGCGAGTAGAACGGATGAGCCCTTCAGCACCAGCAACAGCAGATGTTGCCAATCCTTGAAACAATGGTAAGCGTAGCCAATCGATCGCTTGCAGCTGAAGCAACTGAAGGAAGTAATCAGTGGAAGACACATGGCTGAAATGGTCATATTTTCTACCTCAGTCAGCAGTGGTACTACCGATTCAATCATACTTTTTCTCTTACTTCTGTAACGGTGGAAAGTCTTCGGCTAACGCCCAGAATTCCTGTAGACAAATCCAAGCTTGTAGACGGACTTTGTCCAACTTTTCTGCAGCAAGCCGGCAAAGACAGCCCACTATATTCTGAGCATAGACAGAGCGGGATTCAGGACGAGATTGATGTCTGAGGATAATCTTTGCAGCTTGAATTGCCTCCAGTCTCAACAAGGACCCAACATCACCTCGCCTGTCAGTTGTGTAGTCATTCAGAAATCTCATGATATGATTTGCAATATCCTCCGTGATAGCTGCCTTGCAGTCAGCAAATTGTTTCTCTTGATATACGTTTGAACTCACCGATATGGGGCAAAACCCCAGTAGTCAAACTTTTGACCGCTACTACCCTCTTCTCGATCAACTCCTCCTTATCAGTGCAGCGAAGCAATGCCTCGACCACAGACTGTCTCAGACTATTGACCGGTTCAAGTTGCCTGAACACCGCCCCTAGAACCGAGATCTGTCCTCGGCCCGTTGGCAGCTTCCAAGTAGCACGTATGTGTGCGAACCAATCTTGGATTGTTTCTTCCTGTTTAGGTGATGATAGAAGAGGGAAGAACTCGGATACAGCTTCAGATGATGCTTCTATAGCAACCTCTTCACTCCGAGATAAACATAGCAAGAGAGTCTCATGTGCTCGGTTGAGTGAAGAAGATGATGGCTGAAAGCAAGTAGGCTCATTTCCTTGCGTAACTGATAGGGAAAGCGAACGAATCAAGCGCGATGAGGCCTCAGCTGTCAATTCCGGTCGAGAAATTTGAAGTGTTAGGTCCTCCTTGGTAGGGCCGACTGCTGAGCTAAAAATGTCCCAAAGATCGGTAACCTGTTGTGCAGCAAGAATGGCTTCAGATTGTTCCTTGCTGTCCCTCGTTGTGGCTTTGTGCGCATTGAAGGCATCTACTGTGGCGGAAATAGACAGCAAACAGCCATGTCTCGCCTCGACGTCACCGCGAGGAAGACTCGATAGCTTCTGCCGTAATCGGTGAAGCACTACGCTAAGCGTCTTGTACGATTCGTGAACACTGAGTTCTCCGATTGCTTTTGCGGCTTGTCTTCTGGACTCAGCATCAGGAGATCCGATTCCTCGCCAGCCCAACAGAGATTCCACAAGTGGACTCCAGTAATGGTGACTTAGTGCAGCGGTGGCTTTCGCAACGTCAATCATCGCTCGTGATCGTCTCGCAACTGCATGATAATCCACCACCTGAACTAATGGAATCCCCTCGGCAATGGTGTTGGGATGGCGGCCGATCAGCTCCTGCAGAGCTGCAGAGGCGCCTCTTCGGATATTCCCTGAAGGATCCATACAAGCGGCACATACTAATTCTGTTGCCAGCATTTGCAAGATGCTCTTTTCATCCTGACGCGATGGAGTGCTTATCGTTTGTGTGTTCAACATCAACAGTTCCTGGGTCGTGTATTTGCGAGAGATTGCCCATATTCCGAAACAAGAAGCATCTCGGACACCAGTGCCTACCGAGCTTCCCGTAGACGATCGTTGTTCGAAATCGAGACCAGAGATTAGCGGCTGCAGTACATGTGGAAGTTGATGGGTTGGAGGAGCGCGTCGAAAGAGTAAATGCCCCAGTGTGAGTATCAAGCCTTGCCACCTTTGCGCATCTACCGCATTCAAGTTTCGCTTAAGTAGATTCAGCCCAATCTTTCGCGCTTCGAACGGTGCAACAATTGTGCCATCCGGCTTCTCGTAAAGTATATTTTCTTCCAAGGAGCCAGTGACAGCCTCGATAACTTCAGACGCCATGTCCGGGTCCAACTTCAGAGTAATGATACTGAGTGCTTTGCTTGCGGCGAAGCGGACAGGTGTTTCCTTATCGGCGAGAGACACCAACAAGTGATCGATTGACTCTTCCAGAATCGAAGAAACTTTGTCCGCTGGAATTGGGCTGTTTGCTTTTTCGCTAAGTGACAGTGCCATGACTGTMACAGTTCGCAGAATCTTGATGATAATCTTGCGAGCAAGAGCAGACGAACTGATGATCTCAGATACACCCGTTCGCTCCTGTGCAATATGCAGAGTGCGTTCAAAGGTGGGGATGATCAAGGGCGCAAACTCATCCACCTGGCCTGAAGCGCCTAATCGTCCCAGGAAAGATAAAACACCGATACACGTGTATACTGAAGGAAGTTCTTCGCTTTTTCCAGGATTCAAGACAGCAAAAGCCCATTCTGTAAGATTAGTCAGGAGCCCAAGGGCTTGCATGTCCCGCCGCAAAATAAGCCGCGCAAGCAACAGAGTGGCAGCCTCCCGTTCTTTACCAGGGACATTGACATATTTCAGTGTCACCGAAAGTAGAGACTTTGCTACCATTGGCGCATGCGCCGGTAATGGCTTGATTTGACCCAGATTGTCGAACGGTACCGGGATATCGTCCGAGGACAAGGACGAAAGGTCAAAGGGGGCGAGCAATAAATGCGAAAGCCAAATCAGCATCACGTAGCGCTCCTCCCAAACTAATTGTCGCGGGTTTTCTCCGTAAGATTCGTCCGCAGCGAGCGCATCCCAGTCGATGAACGCCCGCAACAAAGGATCAAGGTACTTAGGCTCATTGTTCAGAAACCGACTGATAACTTTGACCCCGCGGACCTTGCAAAAGGAGTAGAGAAGCCGACAGATGGCCCTTGGCAAGGGATACAGCACCTGCTGCTCTGTCTTGGGAGCTCTAGAGCCATATTGGTCGCGATATTTGACCAGGTAAGCGAGGAAGGCATCCACCAGAGGAGGCAGAAGCGCCTGCAGATGCGGGTCTAGCAGCTGCGGCCATTCTTGAAAAGGCTCAAGCTATAGAGTAACACTGTGAACAAGTCATATCAACTATTTAGAGAATGAATGCTCTTACAAGGTTTATAAGTCTCTCTGCCTTGGCAGCCTGCGTCCATCGTCGTGGGACTCGATTACTCTGTCTCTCCTCATTCCGCGGTTTCCAGAGCAGAGATGGAAGCTTGGCGGAGAATTCCTTGACCAAGTCACCGGACGCTCTCTGTAACTTGATCTCCCTATCGTCACTGTCGTCCATGACGAAACTTTGCACCTTTAGTGGATTTGTGCCTTTTGCGACTCTGTCAATCAACAAACAGCGGGGAGATATTGGTTATGGTCACGTGATATATACTGCGCATGCCAATTTGGGACAGTTAGCAGCACGATTTTGATCCCAACAGAAAAGGAAATATGGCAGAGCAAATCCTGTTCAAATGAGAATCTCTGGAAGTTTGCTAAGTTTGGTTGACACTACTACACGGTGATCGATTGATACTGGCATATGGCTGTGTCGAGTTACATATATTTCGCTAACTCCAAGGATAAAAGCAAATTACTGAATAGGTCAATGCTGGTACGAGAAAGAGAGCCCCAGAGTCAAACTGAGTTCTGACTAATTGATGTAACGATATGACCCAAAGCATGATGCTCACAGATCTTGGTCCACTACCACATCTGCATCTGCATTATATCTGCACAAACCTGCCAAATCATGTTCCGCAAGCTCCATCATGGTGTTGCGGATATGCATGACAGATATTGCCACTGCAAGTGAGTTCCACACATCTTGACCCTGATCACTGAGATCGAGTTGGCAAATGAAGTGGCTGTCTTCAGTTCCCAGTTGGCCCTTTGCAGCGGAAGGGTCGGTGTTCAGGGTTAAGATGGCGACCACTGGGCCGCTGATAACAAAGCCTGTAAGAAGAGGGGGCCTATTCGGTGCTTTTGCTTTTGCTCTATTGGCAGGTGCCACGAGCTCTTTCGTAGCGGATGCAAGGCCATAGGCACTTCGAAATCGATCCGCCAGCTTTTGTAGACGTCGGTTCACTTTCACCACTGCCTTGACGGTACTTTCTCCTCTCTTTCTAGCGCCTATTGCATATAAGGGTATTGCATTTGAGCTGACATGTAGACCTGCATCATACACAGCCCAGCGAATGTACTTGCTAATTGCTCGTTTTATGATGGGCTCAGGTCGACGATGAACAAGGTTGCAGTCTCTCACATAACCGCCGAGAGAGAATAGAACGGAAAGTGACCTGATTGCTGCAATATACTTAGCGGACTATCAAAGGCAAATTGCATGGCTGAGCTCCAACTTACCGTAGAATTCCGAGCCTTTGATTGCATTGATCAACGGCGACGGTTTCTCACCAGAAACAGCGAACAGGGGATTCGGCAGTGTGGAGAAGTCGTAATGCCACTGCTTGGGAAGCAAAGGTTCAAAACCCCTCATGGCGATTCGATAGAAAAGTTGTTTCTCCACTTCGCTCCAAAGACCCTTGGGCACATTGACAGCGTTTGCCCAGCGCTTCGCTCTTTCCAGTGACAGATCTGGTACAGAATCGTTTGCTTCATCTTCCTGGATCGCTAGAGTATCGCCTACTCGTGCGGCAGAGTCAGAATGCCGCACAACAGCGTCACAGTTTTGGTTTCTCTTTCGTGAAGGGTCTACCTTGCCCTGGGTATGAGCCTCGTCATTTGTATTATCTGCCAAGAGGACCGGATAACTCTTTCGAGAGCGTTGATGAGCTTTGGCGAGCGCGAAGAAGGCTCTGTTTCTATCATCCGCAATCTTGTTGAGGACTTTCATCGCTTTCAGCACTAAGGGGTGGTTTGGGTGTGTTTTGGCGTTTACAAGCTCCCACGGATTTTTGGTGACCGCATCTTCGTCAGAATTATCTGGCTGGGGATCTGCGAGAGCCGGAGAAACGGGGACACTTGGAGGTGGTGTTGGTTCAGTCTTCATCCTTTTCGCGGCTCGGGAAGGTGTGGCTTTGCTAGGAGTAGGTAGATTCCCAACTCCAGTATCAGAGGTTGCTTTCCTTTTCGAGGACCGTTTGTCTGCAGTCCTGCACTTGGCCCTCTTCAATGAACCCAGGAACTTGTCCTGGTCATCGTCCTCATATTCGTCAGGAACGAAGGCAGGGTCTAAAGTCCTTCTCCTCTTTCGCTGTGAGCCCCCTGTAAGTTCTTCATCGTCATCATCTTCACCGACGTCGTCCTTGCTGGGAGTATACGTCGGGTCGAGAGCTCGTTTCCTCCGACCATCTTTGGAAATCCTTAGGGAGAATTGATCATCTTCATCCGGGTCCTCGTCTTCTTGATTGGGGTCATACGAAGGGTCCAAATCACGGCTTTTGTTTGTTCTCCTGCTAGTAGCGTCTCCGGTGCTTTCCATATCAGAGGGACTCATCAAGTCGTCGCTAAGGCTTTCGTCATCAGCGTCTTTCTGGTTTGTAACTGGTTTCCTTCGAATTCTGAGCCTTGCGGCGTATTCTGGCATATTTGTGGCTTGCTTTGCTTGTTTAGTAACTGTAGCTCCTGTCGTCGTGTCTATCGGTGGTAGGGTGTAGCTCACATCCGTTTCACTCCAAGGTGCAATAGACTCAGCTCCGTATTCGTAATGACTTATTTGTTGAGGAATCAAAGTTCTATTCGCATCGAAATCACTTATAGTCTCAAGGGTTTTGCCAGAGGATAGGGAAGATTCTGAAGACTCGGAGAGATATAGGTCCTTGTCGGGGAAGAGTGACTCGAGGGCGAGCTTGGTGGACACCGACGCATTATGTCCATTTTCCACTCGCGCTCGAAGAGGGCACAAGACACTAGAATTGCTATCGTCTGAATGAACGATTGCGTTCCGCACTGCCATGGTACGATAAAAAAAAGAAATGGAAGATAATTCTATCTTTAGTGTGCGCACGGTGTCTTTTCTTTGTTGGATTCGAGAAAGTGTGTTGACAGACAAAGAATATCGAAGACGCCGATGCCAAAGATTAGTCTAAAAGACAAAGAGAAAGAACAGAGTCTCCGAGTCAAACTCTACCAGTGATCATCTTTGCAATTTGGCGTCAGTGGATGTGTTGCATCCAGGCCAGTATCGACGTTGGATGGAATATGACTGCTCGCATGGAGCAACACAAAGAGACTTGAAACCCGAAGCTCCCTACGGGATGAAACCAAGGAAATATAAGCTGATAGTGTTATGCATACGCTTCCATATATCGGGAGACAACACTGGCTGGAGGTCCTGAAGCAGGGTAAATGTTAATGGACCTCCACGAAACCGTCCCTTGACTTGCCTCTCAGCCGTCGTCTACGGAAAAGCGTCAGTACCGCTTTCGAATCAGAAGGTAGTGATGAGCGACAATCATAGAACGGAGAGCATTGCATAGTCACATCTCAGAAATTGTAAACTAGAATTCTTGAGGATTAAAGCGATTAGCCCTAAATATTTTTAAAACGAATGAGGAAGACAGAGACCCCGGGACCAAGCCGTATATTCGATCCGCGCTCGTCAAGGCCGTAAAAGTGCGCACACCAGCTCTGAAAACTCTCATGGGTATGTTAAGAAAAATCTCCAATGCAAAAACAAAGTGCTCACGGCGACCAGCGATTGGTCAAGAAGTCAAAAAGCAAAGGGTTCCAAAGATCTCGTTGGACGAATGAGCAATGAAGGCAATGTCACGATGATTCTCAATCAACACCGAGTATCTTAAGCGAAGTCCGCAGTGTACGAGAAGCCACGGAACTCCTCCTGCATAGCTTGGGAGAGGACTAGAAATGACATCGTTAGCCTTGAAACAGCCAATACCTACGGGTGATATCTTACCTGACTGCACAGGCGTGAGTACCGGGGTCACACTCGTGAACTCCTGATCGAAGTTGCTTGTATCAGTGGGGCTGCTGATCGTCGGCAGGAAAGGCGGAGGAACACGCTTGTGGTAGATATCGTCCCAGTTGATGTTCCTGAAGAAGGCATGGGACATGACTTCTTGGGCGTCTGTGGGCCCAGATCCCAATCTCAGCTCAGGTTCACGGGTGAGCAACTTCTGTAGAATAGAGACTGAGTCCCGAGGCATGTGGATTGGATAGAGAGGCTCATCGGCAAGAATTGCATCGTAGATTTCATCTTCGTCTTCACCGCGGAAAGGAGACTGTTGCAGGAGCATCTGATATATCAGGACACCGAATGCCCACCAATCGACCGCTCGGCCATACTTTTTGTCCAGCAGAATCTGTAAAAGTGTTAACTGACGATGCAAAGACTTGAAAGGCCAAGATTCTCACCTCAGGTGCCATGAACTCGGGCGTTCCACAGAATGTGCTGGTTGTGCTTCCATACCACATATTCTCCTTGCAGAGACCGTAATCGGCAATCTTGATGTGCCCATCTAAAGTCAGGAGAATATTGTCCAGCTTCAAGTCACGGTAAATAACTCCGTTTTCATGGAAGTATTTGAGAGCCAGCAGAACTTCGGCAGCATAAAACCTGTGAAGTACGCGTTTAGTTTTCCTGAAATTTCCGGATATGTGCGGTTCTATGTGCTAAACTTACTGTGCTCTTTTCAGCCCAAACTGACCGCGTTGAATGTGAAGCATCAGATCACCACCGCTAATGTATTCCATAACAAAGTACACGCGAGTTTCTGTCTGGAAACACGCGTGAAGGTTGAGAAGGAATGGATGGCGTTCCTTGTTGGCGATCAGGAAGACACGCTTTTCGGATTTAGTGCTCTCCACTTCATCATTCTCAATGATGAACTCCTTCTTCAGCACCTTGATGGCATAAAGCTTCTTGGTGCTCTTTGTCTCTGCTAGCATGACCTTTCCGAAGTTACCCTTACCAAGAACGGCTAGGAAGTTGAAATGATCCAATCCAATTCTAACTTTGGGTTGCTGGGGAGGAATTTCCTCCTTTACGGCAACTTGTTGTTGCATTGGCGCAACGGCTTGCTGCTGCTGCTGTTGCTGCTGCTGCTGTTGAGGCATGCCATAGGGTGCGCCCATCTTTTGCATTGCTTGAGGGGGGATCGCTTGCTGGTAGGATGCATATGCGGCAGGGTCATAGTGGGCGTGCGAGGACGGCGGTGGTTGCACTGGACGGTTAGGATCTAGAGGTAGAGTAAGCAAAGGCACATGTTGCACACCTGGTGGTGCAAGGGAAATTGACAAAGCGTACCTGGAACTTGCTGGGGCGTACGCAGTCCTGTGGCTGCGGCTGCTGCGGCGGCTGCGGCTGCGGGGCTCTGCGAGGAAGAAGTTCGCGGAGGCAGGTGTTGACGCTGAGCCGCTGTCGGTGACTGTGGAGGAATATAAGTGTTGGTTGCGGCGCTGATAGCCTCGGCGGACGGCTGCCTCTGAGGGGCACCGTAGGCACCCTCGACTGGCTTTTGCGGATAGGCGAGAGCAGCATTATCTTGAGGGGCTTGGGCCGGACCTCCTGGCCGAAGGGTACGCCCACTCAGACCGGAACTGACAGAGGCTGATTTATTATGGTTCTTCGCTCGAATGAGAGTCTCCAGGATCTGGTTCGCCGCTTCCATGGACATGCCACAGAAGTCAGGGACAAGGTGGGTACATTGAGCGTGGCAAGTAAGACCACATTCTGCAAGAGAATCGCAAATATATGTCAGATCCTGTATTGAAAAAAAAAAAATGCCCTAGTGTTATAAGGAAGACATACCTGTACAGCGCTTAGCGCTCTTTCGTCCGAAAGGAAGCAGGTATCCGCAGTGACAACACCAATTGGCGGAGATGTTGGAGAATCCCTCGAAGCGATGCGGAATACGGTGGTTGATCTTCTCCTCGTCGGGGTCCGTTTCGTAGTTGGCCTTGCTGATACACTTGGTGACGACCTTTTGGTAGCACTTTCGGTGACAGGTATATTTACAGTCGGCACACTGCATGCCGGCAGCATATTTCAAGAAATCACCACAAAGGGCACAGCGCATGATGTTGTAGAATTGCTGCGTGACAAACTTGTGACCCTGCTTCTCGTGAACCTCCTCCTTCTTCTGTCGGACGGCGCCTTGACGGTTGAGACCGATATCGAAGGGGCGGCGATCCTTCAATTGCTTGGCTATAAATATGTCAGTGCGCTGAAGTAGTGAAAAATGCGGTATACAGGTACTCACCGAAGCTCAGCGTCAGGTGGATACGACCAACTGGCTCCAACGCGAACCAAGTGTCGATCAGGACCGGGCCTGCGGAAGGGCCGCCGGGAGCACCACCGGCATATCCTTGACCTGGACCGCCAGGATGACCCCCAGAGGGTGGTCGATTGGACGAGCCCGGCGCTCCGCCAGCGTCTTGCCTGCCAGATGCGCCCCCATGTTCCATCTTGTCTGCAGAGACCCAACCCGATGCGTTAAACTCCGACTCGATCTTCTTGCGGCGCATTTCTTCGGCGATGTCAGATATGCGCACCCAGAGCATGCCGATAGGGGTGGGCCGATCGCCCGACTTGTCGTATACGGTAAGCTCAATTTCGTTCGCCTTGTCAATTTCCATGTTAAACGCCTCATCTTGCCATTTGTCGGTTCTGGTAGCTTTCGTTCTCGCTTTGATGGCATCCTCTACTTTGACAACGACAAAAGTCTCAGGACCTCTGGAGAATCTTGAGCTGGCAGCATGGTCGACATCCTTCACAGCATGGATACGCAATGTTAATAGACCGGTCAACGGCTTGCGCATGTTTGGTGTGCTCAAGCTTTCGTCTGGTCAAACCAAGTCAGTAACCGCAGATTGCGAAGACCAGGCAACAAGCAGTGGCTGGCGACGTACCGTCAGGTGCTTCGGCAGATTCAATATCCACATGAAGATCCTCATATCGTTTGAGAGCCTGCTTGAGCAGCTGAATTTTCTGATTACTCTCGATTCGCCTTCCCTCTGCGTCCTGTCGGCTCTTCCTATCCCCCTCATCTTGATATAGACGGACCATCTTCTCGATACCGGCCTTGTATTGCTTCTCAACGCTCAATTTAAATTCCAGTTGAGATAACATGAGTTGAATCTTCGGTCCAAGATAAGGAGTGTCGTACTTGATCAGATCTATACGCAAACGGTCCCAAGTCAGTAGACGAACTCACGCGACCTCCGCGAAAAACGCTTCAAACAAGCTACAGCATCGCTCCGCACGGCAAAGAAGCAGTAGAACCTACCAAGTTTAGTATAATTCGGCCGGGCCTTGGGGACGGGGGCAAAAGGACGAGGATCCGCAAAGGGCGCTCCAGACGGCATGGACCCTGCCCCTCCATGCGGATAAGCCCCGGAAGCATCCCCATACTCATTCTCGTGACCAGGATAGCCTGATGCGTAGTCTTTCGGAGGAGGAACTGGGCCCGACCCGTCAGGATTCGGAGGAAGACGTTTTTCTGTTGGGGAAGCCCCTTCTTGCTTCATCTGTCGGAGCTGCAGCTCCCGCATCTTCTCCTCGAGGTAGGCGATGTTTTTCCGACCATCGCGAATATTCGCATCGACTCTCTGCTGCACGAGCGGGTTATCCGTCGACTGCCGCATGTTCGACGCGGCAGTGATGAGAGCCTTCTCCCGCTCGATCTTGCGGTAGACCGAGGCAATAAGGTCGTCCCCGTCCATGGTGGCAAGGTGGTTCGAAGACGAGAAAGTTGTGTTTCCTCGAGAGACTTCGAACCTAGTCGCACGATGGAAAATTAGTATGAAACCGGGGAAACGATCGAATGGAAGAGGCGAGGATATATGGATGGGAAGTGTGGGAGGGTGATAGAACCGTCGCGGGGTTCTTGTTGACAGTTGCAAAGGAGGGGGGGCAGATCGATCGCAACGAGGGCGGACTAACAGTAGTCAATACCTTACTCACAAAGATGCCACTCGGGAAACGTGAAACCAATGCCCAGCTCGATGACAAAATCACTTTCTTTCTTCTTCCCGAAGCGGCCTGAAGAAAGATCAGAAGATGATGAAGTGAAACAGCCTGGCTCCTGGATCGACAGCCAAGGGAAAGCAAGGTTGATTTTCTTAACACGGTTTTTTTTCTCCCTCTTTAGGCCGATGGACTGGGCTGTGCTTGAATCCTGGCCAGACTCGGATTCGTGGGAAGCCTGGCTTGACCGCCCGCCAGCAAAATAGGTATGGAATGATAGGGAATAATATTCCTAGTATTCTGGTTGGGTAGCGAACTGTTGAGGCTACCTACCTGAGTACATATATACAGTGAATAATTGATGTTTCTCTGCTGGAATTAGGCCGGCAGCTGCCGAGGCCGGAGGGGGATTGAAATAGGCCTCAATTCGACACGGGGCTACAATCAGTTGGAGTTATACTATTTGTGAGGAGGCGGCAATGGCAGGAAATAACGGCCTGGCCTGGCTGTGGCATATAAGGCGAGATTTCTGAAGAGGTTTTGAGAAGGTAGAAACCGATTTATTTCACAATCTGATATCATGGGGAGCAGCTGGGTAGCTTGGCTGGCGCCACAGCACGAACGGCTTGATATAGAAGTATCCGAATGTACATACGAACACAAAGAGACCTGAATCAGTGAACGTATCTGGGGACTTATCCACAGGTGCCAAATCTAAGATAGCTAAGAGATCTTTATTTTCAAGGGATCTGATCTGTTCTCTGTACAATATCCCCAAAGCGACATCATAGCACCATCCAGCCTGATATCTTGCCCGTAGTCATCCATAGACCTTCGAGCTCCCAACAGTCATGTGGCTCCTCTATGCGGCCTGTATCTTGCAGTAAAGTAAGATTGAGCCATCTGTGCATGTTTCAAGTTCACACATGATCTCCCGTGGGCTTATTAGCTCACCCCAGGTCGGGCGGCGTACGTGTTCTTGAGGTACATTCCTGGGCCAGATGAAGAGAAGCGAGGAATGTCAGCCAGAACAAGGGAGGAGAAGACAACTAGGCAAACAGAAAGATCCAGTCTGCAGTGGGAAACTGACACAACAAGCACAGGTGATGAGAGGCTCTTCGGATAAGAGCATGTCTGCCTCCTGTACGTCATGGTCAGAGAGGAATACTGCTCCTTCCCAGCAACGGAATGTTGCTTGGGAGATCCTGATTTACCTCTCATCTCTGAGCTAGTGTCAGAGAAAAACTGAATATGCTGAACATTGATCACCAGAAGTACTATCCATTGGCGTCTTGGAGGCTGAGAATTCGGATGCGCTGTTGCGAAACAGTCTTCATGCATCATTAGAGGCAGAAGTCGTGTGAAGTACCGGCGCTCCAGTAACACCATAAAACTTAGCGTAACCCATTCCCTCATTAGTTTGGCGATCCAAGCAACTTTATTCAGACCTCTTGGAGACCTTAGGCATCAAGGCCCAACCCGCAAGCATCACACCGTATAATCCAATGCAGATTGGGTGAAGAACATATGTTCCAACACTCTGCGCCAGCAAGCCTGTGAAGAAAGGCGCAACGGCACCACCACTACTTCCCATAGCGCTGATAAAGCTCAAGCTAGAGATCTGAATATTTCTAGGAAGCAACTTGCTAAAGACCGCCGTAGCACAAGGGTAGACGGGACCTAGCAGCAATCCCACAATAGCCACAGAAACCGCGTCCCCGATGACATTTGGGATAAGCCACGTCATAAGCTGGAAAGCAGCAGATCCCACAACCAGCAAAATAACCGCAAGTTTTTCTCCAACCATATGCGCCGGATGCGAGAGCACAAAGCGTCCAAGGGTGATGCCCGCCCAAAATCCGGCGCTGACATAGCCGACATGGGAGGGATCTCCTTTACGGTAGCTGATCAGGAACGAGACAACCCACCCTGAGATAGAAACCTCTGCACCCTGGTATGCAAAGATGAAAAGAGCTCCGAGTAACGTCGTTTTATTCTTGACTGCTTGCTTCAATAGTTGCTTTTTGCTGGCAACGTTGTGACCGTGCCCCTGTTGCGAAGCCGTCTGCTGAAGCGCGGTGAGAAGTTGAATCGGCAGCTCTTTTTCATACCCGCGGAAGGTCCACATTGCAAACGCTAAGTTAAACACTGCTAGTGCGAGGTTGATGGAGTAGTAGAGGGACCACTGAACCCCGTCGGATACCATGGCCGTCGCTATTAGCGGTCCCATGATCCCCCCAATGCCGTAGGCGCCGTGCAAGGCGCCGAGAGAAGTCGTACTGTTCGCTAGGTTCGCACAGAAAACATTGTTCAAGGCTAAATTCAGCGCGATTCCGAATCCCAGCAGAAAGAAACTGGCCACGACGGCTGGAAATGGCGGTTTGAAGAGAATGATCACATATCCCGCAACCAGCAAACTCATTGATAAGGCGTAAGATTTTGAGCGCCCGCGTTTTGCCTCAAATAATTGCGTGACTGGCGCAGCAAGTATGAACCCCAGCGCATTAGTCACAAAAATCAGTGACACGACTGCGTAACCGATATTGTAGTCTTTCTCAATGTACGGAATCAGAGCACCCGGGCCGCTGTCATTCAAGCCATTGGCCACATTCATCATACAAGCACTCAAAAGTCGCCATCTAGTTGTCGCAGATGAGGTGGGATTTGGTAGTGGATCGATAGCATCGATAGGACCGTCTGCTGCAGGTGAGCCCGGAAGGCTTTCCAACTCGCTGGGAGTGACTGGCGTGATAAGCATGTGAACTCCGGTGCTTGGCCCTGACGCATGAGACTGGCGACTTTCACGCATATGATCGAGGTCGTATTCAGAGGGAGTGCGAGCGATACCCTGCCTATCCTTTCGCACCACGGCCGCAGGGTTAGCGATTGGTGAGGTGCTCTCAAACCGCACCACAGCCCCAAAGGCTGAGGAAGACATGACGAGAGTGTGTTATCCTAATCCAGCTATATCAAGAAAGAGATATCTGAATGCAGCTGAAGAAGTGAACGGTTCCCGTGAAAAAGAGTGTGAAAGAAAGATTCTGATAAGCCCATGAGGTGCCACATCAGCATTTATAATCAAGTTTGGAAAACGAGTTCCGTTGACGACCAGCTGACTCAAGAAGGGCGAGATATCTTCACGATAGGTGTGCTAAGATTCTCGAGGTTCCAGAACACAACGGGGAACCATTTAGTGCATTGCCAGCTGGCCATTTATTTTGCCATCTTTCCAATCGGTAGGGGATAGATGGTCCACAATGGACAGCTGTCAGCCTGTATGGACAAAGAACTATACATGCTCCTATCATCATGGTTGTCGGGAGCTTGCGATAGGTGCGGGATGGAGGGGAAAGGTACCTACTACGATAAAGCTCCACAGTAGTTTATCCCCGCCACAGTGAAGGTTTTTTTTTTACTTTTTTAAATTGGATTTCGTCTGTTTGTCAACACCACCATTTTGACAAACAATGAGCAGTTGTCAAAAAATTCTGCCTTGAATTTGACAGTCATTGAACTCAAAACTGAATCGAATATACAGGTGAAGTCAAAGTAGAGTTCTTGCTTCCATCATCAGATTTTGCGCTTTCGGAAGCCATGGGCCCTCCAAGAAGAAAGGTGCTTGCTACAGCTGAAGAGACATTGTTCCCGCCTGATGAGCTTGCTCAAGGACAACAAATTGGCCGAGTCATTAAAGCCACTGGGAACAATGTCTACCTAGTCGAATATCCTTCGAAGGCGAGAGTACTGGTAGAATTGCCTGCCCGGTTTCGATCCACAATCTGGATTAAGCGGGGTTCCTATGTCGTGGTTGACACGAATGCCTTAGAGGATAGAGACAATAAGCTCGGCGGAGAAATTATCAACATCGTCAGGGATGAAAAGGCCTGGCGTAAAGCTCCTTTTTGGTTAGTCTGATGCTACTATGAAGGGCAGGACATCCTGCGGTCTATGCGATATGCTGACAGTTCCCATAGGCCGAAAGAGTTCGTCAAGCAACCAACTGCCGTGGAATCATCTGATGAGGAAGACGAGTCGAATGTGGGCAAGATGCCTTCGTCAGACGAGTCGGATGCGTGATTTAAACCTCGGACGCTTTCTCCCAAACGACTCGCCTTCAGCTCAGCCATTGGCTGGCCCCCTGGCAAGAAGTGGTTTACTTGAGGATCCATTGATCATCAACAAGATTCGGGAAAGCAAGGAAACTAGGGATGTTTGCAGCAACTCCCTTGTAAGAGGGCTGAATGTCAGATTCATTGCAAATGCTCTTTCTGGCTACTCTGATCCAGATGCTTGCGACTGAATGAGTTACCGAGAACACCGAATACTTGAGCAGCGAGTGAGAGGATCACGACTAGAGAACTCGCGTTGGTACTAGGATATGTGTTCCAAGCCCACTCTTGCGCCACCCAGACGACGTATACGAGGATCGGATGGAAGCCCGCCTGCCAAAGAAGGAAGGGTGTCGCGCAAGCAAGATACGCAAAGAATTGATAATGCAGCGATCTCGCGCACAGCAGACCAATCGCAAGTGATGACAGCATTGCCGTCATTATGAAAGACTTGGAAAGGGTAACTGTGCGGTAGCGTCGTTGGATTAACCTATGCAGGAAGCTTGGCAGGTTTGATCCAGATGGCTTCAGCCATACTGTGGCAACAAACAGACACAACAGCAAAATGTGCAATGCCAACAGGGCTAGGGAGAACTTGCGCGATAGAAATAGTTCTTCTCCAACAAACCTCCAATTGACTGTCCACTTGAACATGAATTGTCTGGTCAGCTCAAAGGCTCGCGAAACATATCCCGTCGGGTTGTTTTGCAGAAAAGGTTTTCCAAGTAGGACCTACTCGCCTTGTTAGCCATTTCTTTCCCTCGAACAAAGAGACAGTCGTTTTACCTGGATGAGCACCGCAATAAGTCCTAGTTGAATACTTGGTTCAAGAGATAAGCTAAGCACCAGCACCACTGCGATAGCAGGAGCCAGAAGCAGCAGCGTCATCTTGATGGCAACGCCTGTAGACCATACAATGACTCCAGCAGTCCACTTCTTGTTCATGAACAAGAGGACCGTAACCCACATGGCTAACGCCGCAAATCCATCGTTGAATAGGCGCAGCATGAAAACGCTATGGAGCCGCTTTGAAAGCACAAGGGGTATTAGGAGATACGGAGGGGCTCCGGCCTGTCTATAACAGGTCATCGCGACGGTCAATGTAGAGAGATATAGAATGGCGAACAGAATTTGTCCGAGGAAGATATTGCGTCCTTCATCCGTAAGGTGGTAAAGGATGTTGTAAATGTATACGTGGGCGGCGGGATACACCAAAGGCCCCGTAGACCCTTTGATCAAGGTGTAGTCGCGCTCGCCGGAGACATAGAGTGAGATTTGCTGCATGTAGGTCGTCCAATCGATCTCAGTATCTGCATCCAAACGCTCAATGTTAGCTTTTCTGTAGCTAGCGATGTTCCTGACATTCTAGAACATAATGCTGAACTCACATGGGACCTTCCAGATGATTAGTGCGCAAAGGACGGCATCGCCCAGAATAAGTAGAGGAGCAACCCATCTTGTATGCCTAGGGTTCATACAAAGATCGTGCAGGATGTGCTTCAAGTCCATTATATCGATTGCGATGGTATATGAAGTTGCATTGTTGTTGCAGGTGGCCTGAGAGTGCGGAGCCAATGATATTCGCCATTTTCCGGCTTAGCTCCGATCATGATGGGCAGAGTGGGAGGACCATTGAAACCGCCATCAGCAGAACCAACCATTGAGCTGGAGAAAACATACGACAATAAAGTCCATAAGGTGTCGTTCATTCAATTCAAAAGTATATCAACATAAAGCAGATACAAGTGCTAATATCTACACTATCTGTACATGGGTATAGCAGGCAATTGTGCCTTTTTTTGGGGGGCAAGTAACGGCATGAAGACTGCATGATCGGCTGGAATCAATGCGCTTTTCCTATCATGGTATCACACAGGATCACCGTTTGCGGGCCAATTTGTGATATCAGACTCCTTGGTTTGGGGAGGCCACCGACTCAGTCCCGAGAGTCCGTTGTTTCTACTTCCCCTCAGCAGTTGGAAATCCTAACAATTGGCCCAAAACACCCTTGGGCTTAGGAACAGGGCATTCCCTCCCTGTATTGGCCAGACGTTCTGCTTCCTCTTCCATTTGTAAGAATGTCGACACCTCCTCGTCGGAAGACTGGGGCCGTGCTTGGTGTATCGAAGTCCCATCTTGTTCGAGCACGCTTGGGTCTTTCCTCCTCTTCCTTCGAATTCTCTGTAATTGTTGTCCATCGGCAGTCACAATCATTTCGGAATCTGCCAGCGTACGACGTGGAGCGGGGCATGGGAAGACGTGCGGCATGCCAACGACAAAGAGCGATGCGAGGAGTGTCGCTGCAAAGAGCGACATGGTCGATCGTGACCGCGGATGCAGATGAGGCGGCATTTCGGAAGTGATTCAGAAGAAGCGATTGAATTCAGAATCGTCGCTATGACTATGACATTGACATGGAGAGATCGTGGTACTAAGAGCTAGCACGCAAAGACTCATATTAGCAACGAGTGGGGGTTCCTCAAGCGGGACGAACAGCTCACCTTATGGTTGCTCGATTTAATATTAATGAATCAACACATAAAAAGTAGAGAATGTCCCAAGAAAGACATGGCTCTCTCCAATGGGCAGCGTGGCTGAAGCGCGAGACGCCGAAATGCAACAGGAACACTCGCAGCAGCGGATGAAGAGTGCGAATTGAGTTGGAATCGACCTTTGCTCTTGGCGGTCAGGATCTTATCTTATCGCTCTGCGTTGTGATTGGTCCGAAGTGCTCAGTCATGAAAGTTGTCAACGCGCCGCAGGACTTTGCTGCTTCTGTTGCTGCAGGGCGCCTTCGTCTGGATTGCAAACCACTTGCATCCACCCCTGTTTCTTTCGCTCGCCGTATGAGTTACGAAGAAATGACTGTTGATTTTTTCTGCACATAGCGCTTCCGTTTTTGTTCTTTGCTCCCTGGGTTTCCCAGGCTTGGCTAAGTCGATTTTTCCGTGACCTCCCTCGGATCTAGGACGACCCACCGATTGGTCACCAGCCCGCTCCAACTTGCTCATCCCTTCCATTCTTTTCTTCCAGTTCGAAATACTATGAGTGATCTAGACAGGTAATACTGGAGAATGTTGTTTGCCATGTATCCTCAGGGCCCTCACTGACTTTGGTTGCTTTCGTCAGGGCGATCGCGCAGCTTCGCGCTTGCCGTTTGATCCCCGAGTCCCAAGTCCGCGAACTCTGCTACAAAGCTCGAGAGATCTTGATAGAAGAAGGAAACGTTGTTTCTGTGGACGCTCCAGTCACAATATGCGGAGATATACATGGCCAGTTCCACGATCTGATGGAACTGTTCCGCGTCGGAGGCGATGTTCCCGACACCAACTATCTCTTCATGGGTGATTTCGTTGATCGCGGGTTCTATTCTCTCGAGTCATTTCTCCTTCTCCTCTGTCTCAAAGTTCGCTATCCTGATCGCATCACCTTGATTCGCGGAAATCACGAGTCTCGGCAGATCACAACCGTCTACGGCTTTTACGACGAATGCATTCGCAAATATGGCAGCGCCAATGTGTGGCGGTATTGCTGCGAGGTGTTTGATTATCTGGCGCTGGGCGCACTTGTACTTGGGGCCAGCTCAGAACTGGAACCGACCGGCTCAACGATGAACGACACCACCCAGTCCACGATGCCGATCGATGACGCGGAATTGGAGACGGAAGTACTCAACTCGAGAGGAGAGGTCACAATGAGCACCTACAGACGGCGACAACGATCTTCATCAGACGCGTCGACTGATTCCAGAAATCCCTCCCCACCAAGGGATATCTCCGCTGCGCCTGGCCAGGCTCCCGCCAGATCCGGCGCACCGGGTACTGGGGCT